TATTATTATTACCTGGGCCAGGTGTGTGCCCTGAGTGGCGTTCTCCGAGATGCTTGCTCCGACCAGGGGCTGGATGACAGGCCGGTGCTCATTTACATATTCAAATAGGAGGGTGACGTTGGCGACTGCGCTGTCCCCGCCATCAGAGACCTCTGCCCGGGCGATGATGCTCCGCTCTGACGTCAGTTTGTCAAGGTCAACTGGTTTATCCAGGAATAGTTCCCCGGTGGAGGAGTTCAGACGAATGTCTGGAGAGGGGAGGGGCGGGATCAATTCTAGTTTAGTTTTAGCTTTAGAAGAGGTTTTACGGCGCTCGCAACTGCATAAGGTCATATGAGCACCAATGGGTGGATGTCAACAGAGAAGTCCTTACAGGGAATCAGGCTTACTCTGCTCACTTCTCTAGCCTCAACAGCACAACGTCTGCTTCGACTATCAAGGCACCCCAGAAATAGCGGGTCACAAGAGTGTGACAAACATACAAAAGAAGTAGAGGAAAATGACAATAGTAAGGATTAGGAAAGAAAAAGCAGAAGCTCCTTGTTGCAGTTCAGGCACAGTTATGAGCATGACATTGATAAATCAGACCATTTACAATTTTTTACTGTGCATAAGAACATGTTAATGTTCCCCCTTTGGGAATGGCCTAAAGACACTTCAGTCAGTAGCACTGCCCTCGTGGCCTAGAGGATAAGGTGTTCGCCTCTCATTCAAAGGTCCCAGGTTCGAATCTGGGTAGCGACGGGAAAAAAATTCTTCTCTAAAACTGTCTTATTTCACCTCCTCTAGCAATGTTCTGTTGTCTGCTTTCGTCTCCTCTTTCTGCCCCTACTCCCTCACCTCCTTTGCCCCCTCCTCAGGGCTCCTGACTCTTTCTGCAGCCTTTCTACTGCTACTCCTTGGCTCCTACTTACTGCTGTCTTTCTGCCACACCCCTAATCTTCTGGTAGGAAAAATCTACACCTAGCCTTCTTGGGTAAGGGCGAAAAATCTCGGAGGCCCCGTGTGCAAGTTGCGAACGTTAAAGATGTCTTGATGGTCTAAAATCGATAACAGTAGGCTTTGGCCGCCGCCCCGGCAAAATTCAAAATCTCCTACCAATTGAAAATGTTTAATGTGTCCAGCGCACTCATACGACCTTATGCAGTTGCGAGCGCCGTAAAACATTTACAAAAAAAACAAAACCCTACAGTGACTATCTCCCCTGTTCAAACATACATCCGTGATCGTCGTGAATGGCTTAGGTAAGCGGGTAACCGTCAGGGTCGTAAACCACGTACATAAACTACAGAGATCATCTGAAGGCCAGAGACCATGCCCCCTCTCTCCCTTCCTCACCCCCCCTCTCTCTCTCTCTCTCTCATACATACATCTCCCTCCCTCCCTCCCTCCCTCTCTCTCTATCTCTCTCTCTCTCTCTCTC